CAAAAAAGCGATTTCGGAAAATAACTTTTATTATATATGTATTGTTGTATTCAGCATAAAATGCTTTTGAATTTATATTCTTATAAAAATTAGGAAGAGGCTCGAAAGTGGAGGGGGCTCGAAAATATAATCTTTTGAAAAATTCGAATACGTCCTTAAAGTACATTTGGAGCCGTAGAACTTTTGTTTAAAACTTTTTTTGATATCTTTAACGATATTAAAATACGATACAAAATAATAAAAATAAAATAATAAAACGATATCTTTGGACGATATTTACTTAGGAGAAAAAACCGATTTTTTTTCAAGAGATGGTTTCACCCCCTTAATGTTCGAAAACGCAGAAAAAAATATGTGTCTCTTATTTTTGTCCATATTTTAACATACTCAAAGCTCATTAAAATCGGGGAGGGAGGACAGTTGCGATAGTTACTTTCCTTGTAAGTTATATACAGGATGTCCCAGAATTGGAGAACGAGTCGCAGTGGGAGTGTAAAAGAAATCAAGAGGAACAAAAAAGTCTAATACCATTTTGTGATATTCGCTCTAATTTTCGAGTTATAAAATAAAATATCCGAACCAATGAATAGTGACGCCGCGCTATAGTATGGCTTACTACTCCTAGCTTACGGGCGCACGGCGCGCGGTGCGCGGTGAGAGGGAAGTGACGTGTCGCCGCTTGAACAACGGACAGCCTTACCTCCCTCTCTTCCTCTTGCTATGCGCCGCGCGCCAGTAAGCTAGAAGCAGTAGGCCATACTATAGAGCGACGTTATCACTTATTGATTTGGATATTTTATTTTATAATTCGAAAATTAGAGCGAATATCACAAAATGGTATTAAATTTTTTTGTTCCCCTTGATTTCTTCTACACTGCGGCTCGTTCCTCAGTTCTGGGACACTCCGTATATATATGTTCTGTATTTAAGTTTATGTTGCTGTTAAGAATCTCGTTAAATTAAGATACTTTTATATTTTGAGTTAAAGAGTTTCTAGTTATATATCATGATCTCGCATTTTATTTTATAAGTTCTGCGCAAATTTATCGCCTTAAACTATGAACTTTATATTTGCCTATTCTCAAGTATTGTTTTATTCCCGTATGATTATTATTCGTTTGGGTTTAATTTATTCACGGTGCTCGGAACGAACACCAACGCAAACTGATCGAACTGTAAGAGAGCGATCGCCTTACCGGCCTATTATATAGTTTTATTTGCGCATTAAATCACGGTGCTCATAAACTATGATGACATGTGTGTTATATCCTCGCGGTATACACGCATAGGAATGGTGTCCTGCGCTCGGCGCGCGGTCGCTACACATATACGCGAAGCGCGTATATCCGTGTCTCCGTGGAGCGCAAAGGAGATCGCGGAGCGAAGGGAAAAATAGTGGGGGCAATTCGATGTTGCATCCTTAATGCGAGACGTGCGATCGAGAGAAAAAGCATAATCGAATGTGATACCGATTTCGGTGTCCCTTCGCTGTCTCACACACTCGACACTAGTGCAAGTGAGAGATCGCGATGTCTCTATACATCGCGCTTTCCTTTTTAACATTTTTTTAGCGCTGTATCGAGTCGCTGACAGATTTCCTAACCAAAAAAGTGATCAACTTTAACGCTTAATATCTCGATTCGCGAAGCAGATCATCGCGTTTTTTTGCCAGATTCTTTTATCTATTTATCTATTTAATTATCCGTGCGTCCATTTCCTACTGTGTCCGATTTGCACTGTGTCCGATTTTCAATATGTCCGATTGCCATTGTGTTCGATTGTTACTGTGTCCAATTGCAATCATCGTGTGTCCGTTTCCTACTGGGTACTTTCCATTTAGTGACACAAGTCGACACAAGTATCATTTTGTCCTTGTTAATCACTGAAAGCCAAGAAAGATAGAACAATACTTGTGTCCACTGTGTCCGATTAGTACTATGCCCGATTTTCATTGTGTCCGTTCTTTATTGTGTCCGTTTGGACCTGTGTCCGATTCATTCAACCTACTGTGTCCGATTTATTCTGTGCGCAACTGGGACTTTCCCTCTTCTAACGGCCATTGGAGGATCTTGATCCCGATCTTATATAAAGATCAAGATGATCAAAATGATTATATCAATGAAAAATCCGGGTGATATCATTTTATATTTTTAGTGAACAATAATTTCAGTTTTTCGTGACTATCATAACCTTTTAATAATTTTTGCGTATGGCTTTGTATATTAATAATAATTAACATATAATCCATATAAAGCATTCGTTTCTTCATTATTTACAAATTAATTAGTAAAAATTATGCAAAAAATCATATTTTTAATTGTTATAATATTTTTAAATAACACTTTTTACAATTATGATCGATAGAAATTATAATATTAACAATCTCATCTGTTAATAGCATTTTAAAGGAATATTACAAATCATTTATTTGAAAAGAATATAAGTCTTTTTAGAATATTATACTCGAAATGATAAAAAATCAAATTCTGACCATAATAATGTCATTTTTCTTAAAAGAAACATCTTACGTATACTATAAAATTTAAATATTAACACAATTAATTATAATTGTTGAAAATAATCTAAATGCGATATATTATTGCAAAATATTTAAAGTAGTATGCTTTCACAGTCATAATTTTATGAATTTTTTATCATGATCAAAAAATAAGTGTTTGCATTCATTCTATTATCATATTTTGACGTCATCTTGACTTTTATATGATTTTTTATTCTATTTGGAATTATTCTCTCAATCTACTTTTAATTAAACGGTTTAAAATAATAATTAAACATTTAAATATATCTTAAATATGCTTTAAACATTTAAATATATCTTGAAACATCATTTACAAGTGTATATTGTGGAAAAAAACTAAGTTTAAGAAACAAAAATAAAAAACACTGTCATACGATCATTCATTTTTTATCCGAAATATTGATAGATTCATAACATAATTTGTTTTGATCAAGTATTTAAATAAAAGAAAGCTTTATCTTTTGCTACATGTATAAGGTGCTTGAATATATTTTCAGCAAAACTGATTTTCAACAAGTTTCGAGATTCTAATTTAAAGTTTTCAAGGAGAAGATAATCGTGAATAATTGTAGTCAATGAATAATAATTTCTTTTCTACTCACCAATCCCGATCGACGGTTGAGATCCATCCCGACAGGACCAAATCCATAACATGCCAGCGATATTATCAGAATCAATACTTGCACAGTAGTGATCCAGTACGTGAAGTACGGTCGATGATCTTCGAAATTGTCCAACTGCTTCTTTACATCTGGTTTGTGCGCAACACTTTTCCGAAAAGATCGCCTAGAATAATAAAAGAAATGGAAAAGCTTTAATAACTCATCAAACAATTATTTCCGTTAGGATATTTCATCTTTGTTAAAATTTCAATTTTGTTTATTATTACTAAACAATACTGTTTTGTTTATTGTTACTAAACAAAATTTTAAAAACAAACTTTTTGTAATAACGATATACGCATACAATCCAATAAATTTTATTACAAATACACTATTACATGAAATAACTTAATATAAATTATAATAATAATATAATATAATTAGAGGAAAAACCACAACCAATTATTAATAAAATTTGCTTTAAATATTTTTCTAAATATTTTTTCTAAAATATATTTTTCATAATAATTGTAGGAATTTTTCTTTTAAACGTTTTACATAATTGATTAATTGGTTTCCAATTAAGACAATTATTCTATGGGAATTTAATTTAGTTCCAATATTGCAATAAGGAATGAAGTATTGAGTATACCCAAAGAAACGACCGATAATGCCCATCCCGTATCGTCGCCGATTGCTGTTGTCGAAGACACGATCAATCGTGCTACGAGAGATCCTCGTGGCTCCGGCTATCTCACGGCTGCGAAGAATCACCCCCTCCTCTTGCGGTACCCTCGTACCCTCTGTCGGAGGCGCATCATACTTCGATCTACTCCAACTCGTTTTTCTGTAATTTCTTTCTCGTTATATACGTTTGCGCATTTGTCAGTCAACGACAAATGTACTTTGCAAATTATTTGTTTGAAACAGGTCTTACAATTATCTAAATCAGTGCTTGGAATTAGTTGCCCTTTTCAGCCCAATTTCGAAAGCATGCCTACTATTCTCCACTATTGCTCGAGTCTCGATTATCGCCGAGTCGCCGATTGCTTTGCCTCAAGAGCGTCTAATATAAAAAATGCGTCCAAATCATATCTTCCGCCAATTATTAAAACAATTTTTTATTAAATAATTTTTACACACATTAAATTTTCTTTTTAATATATTATATGTGTTATGTAATATAATATTTATGATATAATATCTATAATAAACTTTTAAGAGTTATAACGTAATAATTAAACAAATTTTTTAACAATAAATTTTTGTATCATCCGTAAGATAATATTGTTGATGCGTTTTTTTAAAAATGATTTCAGTATTTTGTATCTTTTTATATTATAAAAAAAAGTAAAAAAAGGGTGTCAAGTATAATGGACGCTTGAAAAAAAAATTGTTATATCAAGTTAAAAAATAGAATCTACAATATCTTTTATTTTAAAGAAATAGAATCTAAGTGGTACGAATCTCTTCATTAAAGATCAGAAGACACGATAGTGTTTCGTCAAGTCAACCGAGAACATTAACGTGTGACTTTACGCGAGTCGGCGAGATCCGAAATTATCGGATCTAAATAATTTTCGATCTTAAACCGATCAAATTCTAAGTAGACTTGATCGGTAGCTTGAGTTCGACTTGCATAATAAAAGTATTTTATTTTCCTACATGCCTTACAAGCGGAGATATTGGTACGCAAAGTTCAGTTTGGAAATTTTTATTTAAAAACGTCATCATTACCATTGTCCTTTGTACGGCTGCAATGTCTGTCGCAATGTCACTATTAATTTTATCGACGCAGCGGATCATCAGACTGATAAATCAGAGTCACTGTAGGATCTAGTGAATCAATGTTCGCTAGGTCCTGCAGTGACCCTGACTTATCGGCCTAATTTATTCACAGGGTTGATAAGACCATAATGTAATAAACGCGTGCCTCAAAACAAATACATTAGCAATATATCTAATAAACATACTAATTTTTTTTGTTCTATTTTTTTTCTCTTTTTTTCTAATTTAGAAAGAAATGTATAAATTATATATATATCTTCATCATTATATTGTTCGTTTGTATTGATTTTTATATCTTTATAAATATATATTTCGTAATCTCTAACCACAGTCTCTGCTCCTTATGTTACAATTCTGATTGACTGATTATTAATAAATACGCATAACGAGAATAGGAAAATAGAAAACAGAAATAGAAAATAGAAAGAGTGAACGAGATAGTATGCTTGTTGCTTTTTTTCCACGCGTCCGATTGGCGGTCAACGATGTTATCATTGATGTGATCATTGAGTTTCGCGGCGAGTTTGGTGATAATTTGTTTTGGAATATAAGTGACTGATGTTTATGCGCCATAATCTGTTATTTTGCAGGTTCTAAGAAGCAATATAAATATTGCAATATAAATCATTTTGATTTTGTCCTTTTACATACGCGTTTGTGCTTTTTTTTCAATTAAAGTTAGAAGTGTTCAGATACTATGATCTGTACATATTGTTATACAACTCTTGACCATATTATGGTATATTTATTTAAACAATATATCAAAGGATATATTTAATAATTATTAATAAAACTGAATCATCTTTTCAATAAAATTGTATTAATAAAAGTATAAAAAAACATATTGCACTTGTACTAAAATTACACGTATTATTCATTTTCAGGATATTCAGAAAAAAATTGTAAAGCAACATCATGAAATATTTCAACATATTTTAAATAAATTGAGGAAAAATATTAAGAATTAAAAGACACAAATACTCGGGAAAAAAAGTTTATATCTAATTATATATAATTATATCATATTAGATATAATTATATATAATTATATATAATGAGATCTATTAATATTACAAATTATATGCAATTATATCAAAATATTTATAACTCCATGTCAAATTATATGAAATTATATTGAAATTTTTTTGGGGTAAAAACTTTATATCTGATTATATGTAATTATATCAAAATATTAATAATTCTATGTACAATTATGTAAAATTATATTGAAACTTTTTCGAAGAAAAAGTTTACATCTAATTAGAAATGATTATATCAAAATGCTTACAATTTCAAATTGAATTACATAATATATATTTCTTTTTCAAATAAAAAGATATACATTAAATTATATAAAAATGTATACATATATTATGATGCATCAAACTAGGTATAAATAATAACATCTAAACGAGAGACATTTTTGAAATATTATGAGTTTAGTTAATATTGTACAATTTATACATACATACAGATATATGAATATACATACTCGTACTTTACGAATACATAATTTCAATCATATTGTCGCACTCGCGGCGAGTTCACTCGCGTCACTCTTACGCAAGGAAAGGAAGAGACGGTTAGAAAAGAAACACACTTTATTATGCTAAGCACGGGAGTGATAACAAGAACTTTTCACAGTTTAATAAGAATTCGCCGCGACACAGCTGAAACTCGCGCGCCGCGCCGACAACTCTCTTGTCAAAATACTTGACAACTGCTTGACGACCGCGTCGGCAAGGAACGACTTTCAGGTTGGAAATGTATGAAGGTAGTGTCGAGCGAAACATCGCTCAGTCGTAACACTATCCCTCTCCTCTTCAAAATTGTCGTCCCGACAATTCCAGGGAACTCCTTCGCAGAAAAGTCAGCTTCTTCTTCCATGATGAAGCTCTTAGGGAATCTGTCGGCTTCCTGCTCTATCTCAAGCTGCTACTGCGGGTTACCAAGCACTGAATCCCAAACTTTACCCTTCCCGGAAGTTTCGTGTCACTGCGAAGTCATCTTCCCTCTTCTTTCTTTTTCCGAGATGCTTCTTTATCTTGTGCTTGTGTCTTGCGCACTTCTCTCTTGAATCTTCGAACAAGGGGGGAGGGGAAAGCTTCCGTGGACCCTTTCGTCCTTATGGAAAAAATCCCCGCCTCGGCATTTGCCCTAAGTCCCTCGAAAAAACCGCGATTCAAAAAAATTGAGGGTGAGGCGGACTTCTTAAAAAAAAAGGATTTCCTTAGCTGGATGTTCGGGCAGAAAGTAAAAGATCTTCATTCTCACGTCGTTTTTTTCGCACAACTTCTCTTCATGAAATACTTAAAGAAAACAAAGAAACAGAAACAGTAATTTATAAAAAAGAACATCTTTCAATTTAATATTTTCCCTTCTTTGGACGGAAAGAACAATCGACTTTCCCACAGGCTCCGATGAAAACCATAACTCAATCTAGAACGCTTTCCCGAAATGGAAGTCACATATCTAAACGAGTTCCCCTCTAACAGACACTTAGAAGAAACTTCGAAGATTATACTCCCTAAATTATTTGATTTTTCCTTCCTATTTAATACCGAGATATCGAAACCTGTGCCAAACTTGAAAAATGTATGCGCGTCCGTTCGACAATCAATGCGTGTCAAAAGAAAACCCATCATGAAAGAATTTTCTTTAACTCAAAAGCGCGCAAAAGCAAATAAAAAGAAAAACAAAATTTATCTTATAAAAGCGAAAAGAAATTAATTAATTAATGACTGGCCTGGCATTTAATGCTGTCTAGTCGCCGATTGGCTCGTTCCTCTATAAGAAGGCGAAGCTCCTCAATAGTCGGAGTACCATCTCCAGACTCGGAGTCGTTTCCGGTTCTTCCGTTCGCACACAAGCTCTCTTCCTAGCCGAGACAACTCGTCTCCCTGATGCTTCTTCCTGTCCCTCCTCCGTCATTGTTTCCTTTCCTTTCAATTCCGCTTGACGCTCCGCCATGTTTTTCATATCCCGGACGAGCCCCCAAAAATGTTGCACTCGCGGCGGGTTCACTCGCGTCACTCTCACGCAAGGAAAAAAAGAGACGGTTAGAAAAAAACACACTTTATTATGCATTAAGCACGGGAGTGATAACAAGAGCTTTTCACAGTTTAATAAGAATTCGCCACGACACAACTCAAACTCGCGCGCCGCGCCGACAACTCTCTCGCCAAAACAACACTTGACCGTTTGACGATCGCGTCGACAAGGAACGATCTTCAGGTTGGAAATATATGAGGATAGCGTCGAGTGGAACACCGCTCGGTCGTAACAATATATAAAAGATAAAAGATCCTCAAGGAAAATTTTAAGTTTATTATAATTACACTGGTTTACTTTGTTTATTTTATGAAAAATTTAATATTTTATATATGAGATTGTTCATATAAATACAAGTATTATAAATAAATTTAAATATTAAAAAAACTTATAAAAGTTACTTATATTATAGTTTTTAAAAGTTAATAAAAGTTACTTATATTATAGTTTTTCATATACACCACAAAAATGGACCTATTAAAAACTCGATCTAATTGTATTAAAAAAATGTATAATTATATCTAATTATATATATATATAATATATATACCCAAGTAATAAAATGACGTCATTATGTCGATGATTTAAGGTCATTTCTCGTCATTCCACGTAAATGTATTAAATAATGACATAAAATAAATGTCACGAAATATTATCGTCATAAATATATCGTCATTTAATCGTCATTTTTAATGAATAAATAATAAAATAACATTATTAATTATCTTTCTTAATTAACTATAATATAATTATAATATAACTAAATAAGAAAAATATTTCCCATATTTAATACAATTATTAATAAATTTATTAACAAGTATATAAAATATATACAACAATTTATAAACATTTTTATAAAAATAATAATTCTTATTAAACATAATATAGGTTCACGGTGTTGGTGACTAAATAATAAATTTAATCTGTAACTGTTGCTCCGAATTGTGAGCGAACTCGACATGTACTCGTATTATCGATATATTTGCGAGCGAGATAACAAATGAGAGACCACGTGTCATTTGCTTATTAAGTAGGATAATATTTAATATTGTATAAATAGATAAGCGTACGAAAAGACCAGGAATCGAGATCGAATAAGCGAACGGAGCAAATTGTAGTAATGCGCAAAATAAAGACTTTAGTTGGAGAAACAATTCGAGTATCTATTACAAGCCTGTATACACGGCTCTATATATGTAATTAAATTATTTACATATGCAATCGAGATTTTAAAATTGAGCCAGGGAAGGAAGAGACAGTTTTTAGAAAACGGAGGAACACACTTTATTGTTTATAATAACACAAGAACTCTTTTTTTAATAATATCGGAATTCACGCGACACAGCTCAAACTCGCGCGTCGTGCCGTTGACTCTCTCTCTCCCAAGTAACAATGCTTGACGACCGCGTCGGCAAGGAATGATCTTTAGATTGGAAATCGATATGAGGGTAGCATCGAGCGGAACACCGCTTGGTCGTAACATTATCCTCTTCGAAACTGTCGTCCCGACAATTCCAGGGAATTCCCTCACAGAAAAGTCGACTTTTTCTTCCATGATGAAGCTCTCAGGGAATCTGTCGGTTTCCTGCAACCAAGCTGCTGTTGCGAGTTATCGAGCCGAACCAGTCCCAATTTCACCTCTCCCGGAAGTTTTGTGCCGCTGCGAGGTCATCTTCCTTTTTCTATCTTCTTTCTTAATATTTCTTTACCTTGAACTTGTGTCTTGCGCACTTCTTTCTTGATCTTCGAATAAAAGAGGGGGAAGCTTCCGTAGACTCTTACGGACACCTCAAGTCCCCGCCTCGGCATTCGCCTTAAGTCTCTCGGAAAAACCAATTCAAAAAAATCGAAGGCGAGGCAGAAGACTTCTTAAAAAAAGAATTTCTTCAGCCGGATGTTCGAGTTTTGGAAAAGAAGATCTTCCTCCTAACGTCGTTCTTGCACAACTCTTCTTCATGAAAAACTTAAAGAAAACAAAGAAACAGAAGCAGTAACTTATAAAATAAGAATATCTTTCAATTCAACATTTTCCCTTCTTCAGACGGAAAGAATAATTGATTTCCCTACAGGCTCCGATGAAAACCACGACCCAATCTAGAACGCCTTTCCGAAACGGAATTCACACATCTAAACGAGTCCCCTCTAACAGACACTTAGAAGAAACTTTGAAGATTATAAGACTCCCTAAATTATTCGATTTCCCTTTTATTTAAAATCGAGACATCGAAACCTGTGCCAAATTTGAAAAATGTATGTGCGTCAGTCCGACAATCAATTCGTGCCAAAAGAAAACTCATCATACAAGAATTTTCTTTAACTCAAAAGTGCGCAAAAGCAAATAAAAGAAAAACAAAATTTATTTTATAAAAGCGAAAAGAAATTAATTAATTAACGATTAGCCTGGCATTTAACGCTGTCATCCAGTCACCACTCGGCTCATTCCTCTGCTGACATTCTTTCATTTCGCAGTTCTTCCTTCCTGCAGAAACCGTATGTCGTCTCTCCATGCCGCTGGTTTTTGCCGGTGCTCGTCGCTCCATCATTCCAATAACAATATGTCCGATAGATTCTACGATCCCGGACGAGCCCCCGGGATCGTAACGAGCGAAAGTATCGCTCGCAGTGGGTTCACTCGCGTTACACTCACGCTAGGGAAAGAAGAGACAGTTTTTAGAAAACGGAGGAACATACTTTATTGTTTACAATAACACAAGAACTCTTTCTTTAATAATATTGGAATTCACCGCGACACGGCTCAAACTCGCGCGCCACGCCGTCGACTCTCTCTCCCAAACAACAACGCTTGACAACTGTTTGATGACCGCGTCGGCGAAGAACGATCTTCAAGTTGGAAATCGATATGAGGATAACATCGAGCGGAACACTGCTCGGTCGTAACAATAACTTGAGTATGGTGGACTTGCTCAATGTTTATAGGACTATAATTTGACGTCAATTATTGATATCAAATCTTTTATACAAATTTTATATTGTAACGGTCCCTGCACGGTTAATTAGTGAGCGATGCGGATGCGAGGACGTAGATCGGGAGCTCGGAAATGCTTGTCGGTTGCCGGGTTCGATAAAAGAAATTTGCAGTCGCTTGGGTTTAATTAAAATCAAATAATTAAATTTATTTTAGTCAACTATATAAAGTTACTTTTAAGACAAGGGGTTTCTGACTCTCGCAGCGTAGCGCCGTTCGCATGAGCCCACGTGTTGTCAGACGTTCAAATGCACAGGTTGTTAGGCAACCATCGATGCTTTTGCGACACGTATTTTCGCGTACGTCGAAGGAAAAGTCCAAGAACGCTCCGACTTTTCGTGCGTGGAAAACGGAAAATACCGAGAATGCTCAGTATTTCGTGGAAGGAAGGTGAAAAGTTCGAGAACGTTCCGACTTCTTCGCGTGAGAGGAGGCGAGGATACCGCGAGCGTCCGGTATCCTGCAGGAGTAAAGTCTGAGAACACTTCGACTTTTTAGACAGAAGAAAGCGAGAATATCGTGAGCGCCCTGTAGAAGAAAAATTCGAGAACTCTCTGACTTTCCGAACGGGAAGGAATCAAGAATATTGAGAACGTTCGGTATTCCGTGGAAGAAAAACCGAAAACACTCCGATTTTTCGTGTAAAGATAGAACGTAAATACTGAGAACGCTCGGTATTCGGTACGAGAAGATTCTCGCATTGTTCGGAATGGATCCGTGATTTCGGAAGCGGACGGGTCGGATGATCGGACAGGTCTGATTTTCTTTGCAGAATTTGCCGTTTATATATCCTTTTTGTATTGTTGCTTCAACATGCGATTTGTTAAAATTGTTTAAAAGATCAGCTGATTTGTCACGCAATCGACGCGTGACCGATCAGCGGCATACGTATATTGTTCGGTAGTCGGGGATGTTCGGGCGGCTCCAGATGACGTGAGCCGTATAGCGCGCGCGCTAGTAACGGAGCTTTTACATACGCTCCGTTACAATACATTATTACAATCATTTGAGTTGACAATGTGAAAACAAAATTTTATTATTCTTTTAAAAGGACAATATCAAAATGACAATATTTATATTGCTTCTTAGAATCTGCAAAATAACAGATTATGCATATACATCAGTCACTTACACTCCAAAACAAATTATTACCAATTATCAAACTTGCCGCGAAACTCAACGATATCGTTGACCGCCAATCAGACGCGTGGAAAAAGAGTAACAAATATATTATCTCGCTCATTCTTTTGTTTTCTATTTTCTTACTCTCGTTTGCATATTTATTAATAATATTTATTAATAATCAGTCAGTCAGAATCGTGACATAAGGAGCAGAGACTGTGGTTAGAGATTACGAAATATATGTTTATAGAGATATAAAAATCGACACGAACGAACGATATAATAATGAAGATATAATATAATTTATGCATTTCTTTTTAAATTAGAGAAAGAGAGAAAAAAGATGAAACAAAAAGAATTAGTATGTTTATTATTATAGATATATTGCTAATATGTCTGTTTTGATGCACGCGGATTTATTACATTAGTCTTGGCGACCCTGTGGATAAAATCAGACCGATAAATCAGGATCACTGCAGGACCTAGCGAACATTGATTCGCTAGATCCTACAGTGACTCTGACTTATCAATCTGATGATCCGTCGATAAAATTAATAGTGACATCTTGCGACAGATATTGCAGCACAAAAGACAACGATAATAATGACGTTCTTAAAGTAAAAATTTTCAAACTAGACTTTGCGTAGTAATATCTCCGCTTAGGGCACGTAACAGGAAAATAAAAATATTTTTATTATGCAAATCGAACTCAAACTACCGATCAAGCCTACTTAGAACTTGATCGGTTTAACTGTTATTGAGATCGAATAATTTCGGATGCTCGCATCTCGCCGATTCACGTAAAGTCACACGGTAGTGTTCTCGATTGATTGACTTGATACCCGAAACATTACCGTGTCTCCTGATCTTGTGACATAAAATTTGCTTTTCTGTAAAGCCATATATTTGATTATCTTCGTAAGTATTTTAATAGTTCATTAGGCCTATTGAAAAAAATATATTTAAAAAACGAATCAAAAATAGTACCTCAAATAATATGGAAATCTATTGTTAAATTCTAATTATTATAATTATTATGTTAGAATTCTTTATTGTAAAACTATTATTATAAATATTATTATATATAACGCATGTAATAAATGTATGTAATTAAAAAGAAAATTTAATGTTTTGTGAAAATAAAAATTATATAACAGGAAGATTACTTGATTTGATTGATTGATGATTTGACAGAAAATACAATTCGGGCATATTTTTTATATAAAATTAACGCTTCTAAGAGCGATCGGCGATTCGAACATCAAGTCTTGAGCGGTATTAGGGATTCAACAGGCATCGCCTTCGTAATCAGGCCGCAAAGGGTAATTCCGAATATTAATCTAAATAAAAGTGCACAACCCTTATAATATTTGTGGATAGCTTTTGGATTATGAATAATGAAAATAAAAAAATTTTGATAAATTAAATTTAAAACCTAAAGATATACAATAAAATCTTGTTTTCATTTAATTCGTAATTGATCTTATCTCCGTAATATTAGCGAGTAATTATTATTTTTTATTTATTAAGTTAACTATTAAAAACGCATGTGTGACAATTATGTTGCTTTTTAAACCATTTATAATAACATAATATACTACACCGTAGTAGTTATTAGTTTTTATTATAATTAATTTTAATTATAGTAATTAAAACGTGATATAATTTGACGACTTAATATATTTTAAGGACATATTTAATTTTTTGTCAGCGAACTTAATTAAGAGTTAGTAGAAAGAACTCTCACCTGGAAATATAGTGGTCCCTCGTGATCGAACGCGGTCGCCTGACTTGTCCATCGATTGTTGTTCTATCGTCCTTTTGTTGTGCAAATCTGCAAAGAGAAAACATCAAATATCTCATTTTCAAAATAAAAAAAGATGCATTTAATATAGAATACGATAGAAAAGATATGCAATTCTAATTTTTCCCGAAAATGTTAAAAGAACAATAAAACTTTACAGTTATAGTATTTTTAATTTTTTAACACGTCTCAGAATTCTTTAATTTTATAGGACTTACTCAACCAATTCCTCGGAATTGATCCCTTCACGATCCTGCGTGTTGTCAAGAATATCCGCTATTTTAATGCCCACCTCTTCGTCTTTGACCAGTCCACTGGAGACTTGATCGATTTGTATTTGCGACGAATTGTATTGCGACTGTTGAGACGACGTCGGAGGTGGAAGGGGTGGTGGAGGCGGTGGAGGTCTCTCAAAGAAAGCCTCATCTTCGTCTTGGCCGCTATCAGGATCTGCCCTTGATAAATACGCGATCGTGTTTGGTGGAAAGCTCCGCGATTCTGGACGTGATTGTGACTGCTCACGAGGACGTTGCCTCGTCAACGTCTGGAAACACATGTGTTTTAATTACATATAATTGCGACAGTTCCAAGTATTTTCAAGAATTGTCTGGATGTTCAAAAGTATTAATTTTCTTACGTTAATTAATAACCGTAAAAAAAACATCTCTCGCAGCCATAAAAATTAAACGGTCAGTCATAAAGAAAGCAATAATAGTAAATTGAAAAAATTAAATTTGAGAGTAAATCTCATTAACTATGTTGAAAGTAAATGGTAAGTTAGAAAATATTTTGATAAGCTAGGCTGCCGGATTTCCCAGAATATCCTTTTCGATTCTCTATACGAGAATTCTTTCTTTATTCTCTTAAAGAGATCTTCAATTTATCACGTGCTCTATTGATGTATACGCACAAATCTTTCTAATTATAGTCTGAAAATTACAATGAGAAAATTATATCTTAAAATAATCTTAGCTTACAAAATAATTTCAAATTTGATATTTGATATTTGATATTTGATTTTTTATTAAAATTAACAAGTCTAATTTCCTAGATATTGAAAGATTTAAAAGGGAATGTTGAGGAACGCAATCTGTCCTAAAGATTGGAGGAGCAAAACAGAAATCAGAAATTGATGTTCAAAGTTTGTGGCAATCACTAACTACACCACATACCAGTTAACACGTTGGCTACAAAATCAATTTTGATAACTTTCCGTTCGGCCGGTGCAGAGAGTTGAGCGCGAACTGGGTCATATAGAGTATAAAGAAAAGATACGCTCAACGCGACTATTTTGTTCCAATCTTTTTCTAAAATTCGGCCAATACATAAATATAGGAAGTATAAACACAAAAATAAATAAACGTCGTAACGTAAATTTATGTCATAACGTTTTGCAATACGTGAAAAAACCAAATTTATATTTAGACTGCTTCAATAAACTATATTGAAAAAAGTATAAATATGTCTTGGTTTTTATATTTTATGAATTACCAATTTTATTTGATAAGTTTGACAGTGTCGGTCCACGGCCACGGACCGACACCTAGCCGAAAAATGCAATGAAAGATTAGATCCCTAGAGATCGACGCCGGCCAAATGCCGGAAGGATCAGTGTCGGTCCCTAGGGACTGACGCCGGAGCCAATGTGTTAAAGTGCCTCGATACTATTAACTGTCAAAGTTGTCAAAAGCAACTCTCATATATGGCCACCACCATTACGGTCTATTGACTACTAATAATAAGTGCAAGCCAGTTGGTATCCATTTGATGTCTGATCATGCATTTATCATTCCTTTGAAACTTTATAAAACTAGCCGCATTAAATGATAGTTTAAGTTTGTAACTTCAGCCAATGTTGTTTTTTTGATCGTTCTATTCTTCAGCTAACGAGATATCATTTTTGTCTGAGCGATCAAACATGTATATGATGACTCAGAGTAAACGGAAAAATTTTAACAATAAGATCAATTTCGTTTTAAAATCTCTTTAAAGAAAATAATGATTTATTCATGGCTTTTATGTTTCAACATTAAATAAACATAATACATATAATATTATATATATTCTGCAAATAAAGGAAAATTCGAAAACATTCAGAAATGTTGAAGAAAGCTGAATGACATAATGAGATATTTCAACTTAGTCGTATCTTTTTTGTAAAGAATTTTTTAATTAACTTAATGGTGATAAGTGGAAGATTAAGAACTTTCAATTTTTCAAAAGCACCTGGCATATGTTTTAAATCACATTATTAAATTGCAAAACTGATGATTAAAACCATATTATGACAGTAAATAAAATTCGATCAGAAAGGCTCGATACGGAACAATAAACAAGGTGAATGTTAATTCTTGCAAGCCGTGCACAAAATTGAATTCCATCGGATTTCACAAAGGCGCAGTCCCGTTTCCGGAATTTTTCCGCTTAACGAGTCTGCTATTATCGAGAAAAAAGCATATACTGCGTTCATATCCTTTATAGTAAATATCTTAATTCCCAATGTAAATTCCTTGACAAATAAAAATATAAAATATTTATATCCGCATGCATTCCATTAGATCATAAACAAATTTAATGCATACCTTAATGATAGTCTTTATAACAGCGCTATTTTTACTTACTAATTACAAAAAAGAATATTTAAAACTTATCAGACTTTACGTACATAATACTGAGTTCTTTAAGAGGATGCTGGATTCGTTTGTTTTACAGATTGAATATATATTTAGTATTTTTCTTCGTTTTCCTTACCTAGATTAAACAATTCTTTTACAAAATGAGAGAAAATATCCAACTAAGTATGGAAAGGTATTAAATGATATAAAAAAACAAAAAAAATTTTGTATTACAGTTTTCTGTTACCGTCTAGGTTATATATAACTTATTCCCCTGAGATAAATAATATTAAGTAACTATTAAACTTAAAATTACTTATTAAACTTAAAATTTACCTATTTATCCTATTTATCATATTTACAATATCTAAGAAATATCTAAGAATATTTTGAGATCTTCAAAATATGATTTGAAAGCTTATAGGAGAAGTAAATGGAAAAGTATGAAAGTAGGCAAAGTTTAGGAGGTTAGGTTCATATGTGTGCAGAAATATATATAAATGTATGTATGTATACATAAATGTATCTATGTATATTTAAATGTGCAGATGTGTTTTCGTCAGAGTTCGCTCGTCCAGCATCTCCTTTATTTCGTAAAATCAATAATGATAGAAAACGAATTGTACAAAATTCAAATTTCTTTATTTCATTAAATCTCGTCCAAATGAGATGACATAATTGCAAAATTGTTATTGCAAATCATTGAAGAGAAGAAATTACGGATCTGATTTGATGATAAAGATCGACAATAATTCGAGATCTGATTAGTTCTATATAGTACTGTAAGTACTGTTATTATTAGACTATATTATTGATGCCATTAATATCGATGGTGATGAAACGCGTAATGAGCATTCATTGAAAAATTCATCATTTTACGATTATATAATTAAACGCAGATCTGCATAATTCCGCATTAATGATTATGTTGGCAGATGTGACAGTAGTTGCAACTTCGAAGTGGCTGCAATTAATACATCGACCCTAACGTTTCTATTAAGTCTGCAGAGATGCAGAAATTTATCAAGATAACATTGACACTTGTATATATTTTATATACTTCATATTTTATACTAAATCATCGTCAGAAAAGAAAATTTATACAAAAATTGTATGACTAAACATTCATGTATAAAGTTTCAGAATCGAGGATAGACATCTCATTTTTCAACTATTTGTGAAAGGAGGTAAGGTTTCCTTATTTATTTTCCACATGAATGCGATAATGCGTACAATTCTCTACTTTTGTGAAATTAAAAGAAAGCTAGAGAAAGAGAGAGAGGAGGGGGGGAAGGAGAGAGAGAGAGAGAGAGAGAGAGAGAGAGAGAGAGAGAGAGAGAGAGAGAGAGAGAGAGAGAGAGAGAGAGAGAGAGAGAGAGAGAGAGAGAGAGAGAGAGAGAGAGAGAGAGAGAGAGAGAGAGAGAGAGAGAGAGAGAGAGAGAGAGTAGAGAGAGAGAGAGAGAGAGAGGGAGGAAGGAGGACAGAAAGAAAAGGAAGAAGACAGAGAGAGGGAGAGGTAGGATGGATGGGGGAGAGAGGGGGCATCACGTTCATCACAAAGTTTTTTAAATCTTAGAACGTCATAACGAAGGAAGATTACCCTCGTAAATCGCTTTATTGACTTTTTATGCGCCTCTTGGAAAGGATATAATTAATAGTGGCGCGGTGTATGCATTACACACAAATTTTTATTAAAATTTATATCGTCCAAACATTCGCGGACATGATATGATATAATAAGAAGACAGCAGCATCATTTATTAGCGGAAATCTAATAAACTTCATTATTAAATAAGATCGGTGTTATTTTAATCACAGCGCAATGTATAGCGCGTGAGCACGTTTACTGTAATTGCGTTTTTTAAACAAGTTTTGACCACTGTTTGTCATCGTTTGCTATGTGTAGAAAATAGAGGATGTAACCTTTTGTATTAGAAACTTTTCTAAGGACGATTCTAAGACGATTATAATGCAGAAATTTTTTAAAATTGATATAATGAAATTAACATAATGAGAAACTCAAAGGAATAAAATAATCTGTGTTAATCTCTTTAATAGTGAGATAGCGGACAGTTTCTAAAAATTGTTGTTTCAATAGTTAATAAAAAAAATAGAATTAATAAAAAAATGTATGTCAAGAAAAGTCGTGCAATTCGCATACATTGATTGCAATTCGCATTCGATATATTAAAATATATTGACACATGCATACATGTAAAATGTATTTGCAAAACTTTTGTTTGAGATTTAACACTGTATGTTATAGTTTCCATTAAAAAAAGTTTTGCGAAATGATTTAAGCCGGCTGTATTTCCGCTTAATAATCGTTATTGCCGAGCACAATTGTGAGAATTGTGATCGTGCGGAACAGACCACGAAATTAATTCGTATATCGTTTTTCGAACGTTTTTCCTCATTTTCGCTACTTTATACTCAACTTTCATATAATAATTCTATGATGTCAAGAGAAAAATCGAACACAGGACGATGCGAAATTATCCAATAATTCCTGCGGAAATCATTCGATCGTTCATTTAAAATACATGCAATGTGATCCAAGTAACAATGGAAAACATTAACAAATTATAATAATATTTTGTATTCATTGAAAAGAAAAAAAAACAGTTCAGTAGTAAAATATAACTGTTAATTAAAATTAAAATTTTTCAAGTAATTTTTTTATGTATTCTTGATTGTACATTGTGCAAACTATTATTACTTTGTTTAATTCTAAATGGTATTAAAAAACGCATGTAAAATGCAAAATTATGCAGTAATTTTTAAAAAATTATACACAAAAATTTATTATTTCATGTTTCAGAATATTTGATATCCTATAATTATAATAATATCGTTAATAATTTATAATAATATAGTTTATAAAATTATTTATTATTTTCTAAACAATTATAGAACAATATATGTTCTA